ATGTTGTTTTGCTAAATTTAGCCAAACAGCTGTATCGCGCGATATGCAAGCGTATGCATATCGTACGCAAGTTGCTCAGCCAATGCGCGACTTGCAAGCTTGAGCTACGCTGTCTCCGCGACACGTGCCATTGACTAGTATGGTTAGCGTTCGTCGCACAAAAAACCCGGAAGTGAATGCACGTTATAGTCAATGGCAATATCGCGGAGATGTCTCCGCGATATTGCCATTGACTATAACGTGTATTCACTTCCGGGGTTTATGGTGGGAACGGCCATCCATACTTTCATTCACTATAAGCGCACATGTTACGCGATGTAACCATGGTTTGGACTGAGCGGAGCTCACGCCTCCCTAATTAGCTGATTCCAAAAATGTGGGAAGGGTATTTTCAAACTGTTATAACAAATGATCCCTTGGGGCTAGCGAAAAAAAAAGCATCTGGATATTATCCTTACGTCTAGCCCTGCTTAAGCCGCGGGGCGGCAGCTCAGGAAAGTGGCAAATTTTGGAGCTAGGATGCAAACAACATTTCAATCGCTGTTTTGACCAAGATATTTTGAGAATTCTGGGGGTGGCCCCCGATGGGGAATATGGAGAAAAACCTGCTCTTTCATATGACACCTCATTTATTGAGTTTCACCTTCAGGATCATTTGTTATAAAGGTTTGAATTTCAAATTTTTTCATAAAATCATTGACCAATTTTGGATGGTCGCGCAATGCACGTAGACCACATAGGGAAGCGTACAATCTCTATGGGAAGGGTTTTAGTATACAAATAACGCACGGCCCAGAGTGCAATAGCGGTGAATGCAGTACGCGCGAGGTTTCTTTAGATTGGTGCCGCTCTGTGCAACGAGCCGCTTGCGGCGAGTTGACAGTGCGAACCATCTGAAGAAACCGAGCATTTACTGCATTTACATTTTGCACAACAGGGTCAAGTGCGTTATTTGTTTTATAAAATAGCGACACAAATAGCAACAAACGAAACTTTAGATCTAATAAGTTAGAGTCTACGAGAGTTCGATCTAGATCTAGATCTAGAGTTATGTTGGTTCTACTTCTAGACTAAGACCTTGCAGGCTTACCAAAAAGTCAATGGGATTCATTGCCTTGATTAAAAATAAAATCCATACAGTGGGTCTAGAGACGAGTCTACATCAGACAGCTGAAATTCCTGGCTTCATTATAAAATCCAAAAGTCAAAACAGGCCTAAATCCAAGGCAAAAGTAAAATAAAAATTTGCTTTTTAATAATACCCCGCTGGCGCTGGCCGCTCTGATCTAGCTAGTTAGCTAGAGCTAAGCTACGCGTACGTTGCGCTGGGGATCATGGTGGAGCGTACAATATTAGCTACGCGTAGCCTACAATAATTGCAATGCACTCGAGGGAGCGCGTACTACACGTACGCGCGCGCACTATGATCTCCATGGTCACGCGTACGCACCGTGCAATATAACTTTTTACTGCGCTTTTTCTGCACTCATTTCTGCAAAATCGTGCTTGCATCAAATTTTTTTCAATGTCATGTGACGCGTATTGACCAATCACGATGCTTAAAATACTAGAGCCATTTTATAACACACAACATTGGGTGCGCGATCAGACACCCTATCAATACGCATGCTTTGCTGGAGTGAATAGTATTTTGCACTTACCTGCTCTCTCTGGGCATTTCTGTTTATTCTTTAAAGGAAATAGAACTTATATCTTGGAAGACGACCGGGAGACTACCTCACTCCCGATGATGATGATGATGATGACAATTGAAATACGGGCGTCTTAAAAAAACATGGATTTTTTTCTTTCTTCTTCTTCGCGGTCCCTTGAGTTGAAACAAACGACCAATATGATATGGGGGGGCCGGTTATAGTGTCTCTAAGGTAACCAATTGAAAAGGGAAAAGGAAAATGTGCACGTATCGTAAAGAAATTGCAATAAGAGTACCGTACTAAGAGACTAGAATTGAATTTTGTTATAGTGGAAATATAAAGAAAATCACTAATATGTCAACTAATGTTTCACTAGAAACTGGTAAGCTAACAGATGGCCATCGTACAAGTTTTAGGTCAACTACATATCGGGGTGATTTATAAAACTACAAATACAATTGATTTGCTTCAAGTTCAAGTTCAAGTTCAAGTTCATTTATTCAAAACCACACAAAACATGATATAATCTTTTACATGAAAAAGAGACTGGTAATAGTACATCATTAAGTGAATGGTTTTAGGACCCCTGTAGAAGCTAAGCTTGTGAGCGGGGCCCTATAGTCAACAAAATACATACATTAACGATATGGCAAGGTGAATAAAAAGAATATAATGTTTATACAAGGGATGGAAACAAACTAAGCTACAGAATATAGAACACAAAAAAATATTCACACACACGCGCGCACCCACACACACACACACACACACACACAGTCCTTAGTGGTCTATAAGCATTTGAGAATGAGAAATTATTAAGATACAAAGTAGAATTATGTCAGTCTTCCAAGTAGATACGTTTTAGATAACCTTCTAAACCTAGAAAGAGTTGTACTATATTTTATATCATCAGGCAAACTGTTCCATTCTTTGATGCAAGAGATATGGAAAGAGGTCAGAGTGATATTTGTTCTTGCAAAAGGCTGATGAATAAGACCCCTTTGACGTGTATTATAATTTATTATGAATTTGTGAGTTTGTACGGAATAAATCTTTTAACGTACATTCATGAGGCATAAACTGAAGTTTATACATAAACAATACGCAATTGATTGACACAAGTCCACTTAGTGGTAACATTCTTAATCGAAGGAACAATGGAGAACTTGGATGTCTATAATTAGAATTAGTAATAAGCCTTATTGCCTTCTTCTGCAATACTCTTAACTTATCAAGATATGACTTAAAAGTGTTTCCCCAAGCAACATTACAATATGTCAAATAAGGAAGAATAATACTATTATATAATGTTATCAGCACTCTTTCAGGTAAAATAAATTTCAATCTAAAAATGACACCTACACTTCGAGACAACTTAGTGCATACAACATCTAAATGATTCTTCCAAGATAAATGTTCATCCATAGTTAACCCTAAGAACTGAACATTTTCACTAAGCGCAACATCATGGCCTCCAACATTAAGAAAAGTAATACCATCTGGAAGCTTTTTACCCTTTGAGCGAAAAATAACACATTTGGTCTTTTGAACATTCAACAATAACTTATTACAACAATACCATGCATACAGTTTCTGAATCTCTTGATTTGCAATTAGTAATAAATCTTCAGCCTTCTTATCAACCAGCAGCAAGCTGGTATCATCAGCAAACAGGGAGTATGAGAATAATGTTGACGAGTGTATTATATCATTTATATAAATTAAAAACAACAGGGGACCAAGAACAGAACCCTGAGGTACACCATATTTAATAGAAGCAAGTTGGGAACTACTACCATCCACCACAACAAATTGAGTCCTGTCAAACAAATAGCTTTGGAACCAAGACAATGCTACACCACGTGTATTCCATAATGCTCTAGTTTCCTGAGGAGGATACCATGGTCAATGGTATCAAACGCCTTAGATAGATCTAAGAACATCCCCAGACAATACTTGTCTCCATCAATAGCTTTTATGATATTACTTAATAAATTAAACACACCCATTTGTGTGGAGAAGTGCTTACGAAAACCGCACTGCTGAGGAATCAAGATATTCTTTTTAGATAGAAACTCATTTAAGCGTTTATAAATTATTTTCTCAAGAATTTTAGAAAAGATTGGTAACAGTGCTATTGGCCTATAATTAATTACATTTTTACGGTCAGATTTTTTATATACTGGTACCACTTTAGCTACCTTGAGTTTATCTGGAACAACTCCCTGAGATAAAGACATATTAAAGATTTTACATAAGGGATCAATAAAAAGGTGAATGCACTCCTTTATAATTCTAGGTGAAATATCATCAGAACCACTAGATTTAGATGGTTTCAAAGATGACACAATATCAATGATCTCAGAGTTTGAGGTTGGTTTTAGAAACATAGATGCATTATCTTCACACTGTTTCATATAATCACGAAAAGATTGTGGTACTTGAGGGATATCTGTACTGATTTTCATGGGTAGTCCAATGAAATATTTATTAAAACTTTCAGCCTTATCCTTGGCAGATGATAGGAGTACTCCATTAAAATCCATCTCTTGAGGAAGTGAATGCCTATTTGACCGACCTAACAATTCATTAATATGAGACCAAGTTTTTCTTATATCACCTTTAACACTGTGGAACAAATCATTGTAATAATTTTGCTTGGCTATACGAAGAGTATTAACCAAGACATTCTTATAATCAACATATTTCTTTTTATTCTCAGCTGTTGGTCTCTTGACATAACTACCATCAAGCTTATGTTTGCGGTTTATTGAGTTCAACAAAACATGAGTTACCCAAGGCTTTTTACATTTACTCTTTAATGTTACCTCAACTAATGGGAAACATAAATTATATAATTTTAGAAATATTTGTAGAAAATGTTCGTATAGATCATTGACGCCTTCCAGTGAAGGCAGAGTCTTCCAATCAACTTCAGTCAAGTGTTGCTTGAACCTAGAGATTGTTTTATCATTTATTTTCCGCTTTGCTCTACTAGTATATACCCAGCAGGGAGCGAGGGAGGTGAAAAACGTTTTGCGTGGCCTGAATGTAACATTTAAGAGTGGGGGTGATGCGGATTTGTTTCTGCCTCCCCCCCTCCCTCCCCCCCCCCAAAAAAAAGTTTTTGCTCATTGAGCCACTGCTCCCTCGTCCCACGCATTTATATTTTTCTTCTCTTTACCACCCATTTCTCATTTCTTATCTCTTTATTATTTCTATTTCTTATTTCTTACCCATTTCTCATTTCTTTCTATCGTTTCTATTTTTTCTCTTTAATTATGTTTACACTTTCATTTGTAATTTTTCGTTTTGGAGACACCCTTACTACCTGCGAACTAAAATTTCCGGCGGAAGTTTTATTTATTTATCGCGAATATAAAAGTAGGCCTAATCTGATTAATTTTCCATAAATTTCGACGTGAAATATTCAGGTTTTTAAACTTCATATACAGTATTGGTGATGAAAAGACAATGGAGAACAAGCCCATTGTAACGTGTAAGTCTTTTATGTAGCCTTTCTGTTTCATTTCGCGTTTCACTTTTGGTGAAACCTGATTTTCAGTAACTCAAGATTGTTTGTCATGTCCCACTAATTGGTTTCTATGTGGGTTACGTTTGCGGGGCAGCAAAACAGAAGAGGAAATAGCCTAGTACGTGTTGTCGCTGAGTTTTTTATGTGAATACAATTGTGATATAGGTGTTTGGGCGCTAGTATAGTTTCGTATCCATTTTTTAAAGCAGTTTTTTTACCAGTTTAATATCGATTCTTAGCAAAGCAATTTTAGCCCAATTTTTTACTAATAGACGTCTAGAGTAAAGTACCCGGTAATCGGTCAGCTCCGGTTTTCGGCCAATTGGTTGGATACATGGTAAAATCACTTTAAAATACATCGCATAATAGCATAACACATATCCCACACATACCATACCATGCCAGTGTCACTGAAGAACCACATTTGCAATGAAAAATATATCCTAAAATATCACATTTTAGCGATGTAATCGGCGGTCCCGCTACCCAAATCTGAAAAATCGAGTTTCTTACGCGTGTATGTAAGAAATATGGGTACCATAAAATGAGCTTTATTTCAAGTATTTTTCAGATATAGAGCCCGATTTTGTGCTGGTCGCAAGCTCAAAAGTATCTCATCGCATGTATTAAATCAATGCAGCCGCACACCGCGACGCACACACGATATGTCTGTCTAATTCAGATTCCAACTTCCGATCACCGCTGTGCCTGTATTCGGTCAGGCGAGCACCCGGGAGCTCCGGCGTGGGATACCTGCTCCGCCCGCTTGTGCTATACATCAGCGCGGAAACGCACGGCGCGCGCGAGCGCTTCCTATTGACTTTGTACATGCGGCCGTAAACTGAAACGCTCGGCCGATAACCGGCTCCAAAACAGTGAAAATTGAAATGAATATTGTCATGGCAATTCGTGATTTTTTTTTGGGATTCTTTTTTTGTTTAAACAATAATAATATTTGCTTCATGATTTGAACAAGAAATGATAATAAATAGGAAGTAAAGAGTCCAATAAATAGGATTTTGTCTTAAGTGGCCGAAAACCGGGTACTTTACTCTACTAGGGGTCTAGATTAGAGTAAAGTACCCGGTTTTCGGCCACTTAAGACAAAATCCTATTTATTGGACTCTTTACTTCCTATTTATTATCATTTCTTGTTCAAATCATGAAGCAAATATTATTATTATTTAAACAAAAAAAGAATCCCAAAAAAAAATCACGAATTGCCATGACAATATTCATTTCAATTTTCACTGTTTTGGAGCCGGTTATCGGCCGAGCGTTTCAGTTTACGGCCGCATGTACAAAGTCAATAGGAAGCGCTCGCGCGCGCCGTGCGTTTCTGCGCTGATGTCTAGCACAAGCGGGCGGAGCAGGTATCCCACGCCGGAGCTCCCGGGTGCTCGCCTGGCCGAATACAGGCACAGCGGTGATCGGAAGTTGGAATCTGAATTAGACAGACATATCGTGTGTGCGTCGCGGTGTGCGGCTGCATTGATTTAATACATGCGATGAGATACTTTTGAGCTTGCGACCAGCACAAAATCGGGCTCTATATCTGAAAAATACTTGAAATAAAGCTCATTTTATGGTACCCATATTTCTTACATACACGCGTAAGAAACTCGATTTTTCAGATTTGGGTAGCGGGACCGCCGATTACATCGCTAAAATGTGATATTTTAGGATATATTTTTCATTGCAAATGTGGTTCTTCAGTGACACTGGCATGGTATGGTATGTGTGGGATATGTGTTATGCTATTATGCGATGTATTTTAAAGTGATTTTACCATGTATCCAACCAATTGGCCGAAAACCGGAGCTGACCGATTACCGGGTACTTTACTCTACCCTAATTTTAATCATAATCATCTGATCATATTAGGGTGTCTGCACACATAGGAGTAGATCTAGACCGAATTTTCCGTCTCTTTCGTTCGTTAGCCTCTTATTGGGGTAGGGTCGGCTCTCTCTTTAGAGACGGAAGCCGTTTATACACATGTCCTTGCTAACGCCACGGCCAGTTCTGGTCGTAGCGTTTTGCCCCCAAAATCCCCCAAAATGTCATTTTACCTCGAGCATGTTATATTGTAAATTAGGCCTAGGCTATAATAAATCAGTTCCACTTACCAACTTGACTGAAATAATCAGTTTAATAGTCCCTTTTTAGGAAATTATGGGTCAAAATCGGAATCCATGTTGAAAAAGATTTTCAAAATGGATTTCGATTTTGACCCATAATTTCCTAAAAAGGGACTGTAGGAATAAATGTTGTGTAGAAACTAAATGAGTATTCTTACCGTTAATAATAATCCTCAGCGTTGATATCTCGAGTATAGAAAGCAACTGGAAGGCGAATCATGAAGAGGAAGAATAGAGCGATAAAGCGAAGTGAAGAATCAGCACGTGGAGCGCGACTAGCTAGCTAGTGAAACGCGAATAGGATGAAGGCACACAACCTTACAGTTCACACTTCCCGAAATTAAATAGAAGACAAATCTAATTTGCGATTTAGTCCTCAAATAAAATGATGATGATGAAACTCGCTATAACGTGAAAACTAATGAGAAGAAGCTTGTTGAATAATCCGAAAACGTCCTATATAAAACAAGTCCGATGATGAAAACTGAAGACCGGAGAAGTGAGTAAAAACCGTGTGTGGAGACTTATCCAAGTGCGCTAAAAGTGTGATGATTGGCTTATTAAAACAATAAGGTGCGATCCGATTGGAGTAACTAAAATAACACTCTTGTTGCTGGGTGGTTCCATGGATGAAATTAACTCAGAGAATATGTAGAATGTGCAGCTGTAAATTGTTATTGTTATTGAAGCTGGCTGAACGTAAAGTACTAACAAAAGGAATGTTTAAAATGCTGGCTATGTACAATGTTGATAAACATTTGTGACCTTTGTAAAGTTCAAGTCACTACAGGACTATTAAACTGATTATTTCAGTCAAGTTGGTAAGTGGAACTGATTTATTATAGCCTAGAGATCTAGGCCTAATTTACAATATAACATGCTCGAGGTAAAATGACATTTTGGGGGATTTTGGGGGCAAAACGCTACGACCAGGACTGGCCGTGGCGTTAGCAAGGACATGTGTATAAACGGCTTCCGTCTCTAAAGAGAGAGCCGACCCTACCCCAATAAGAGGCTAACGAACGAAAGAGACGGAAAATTCGGTCTAACATAGGAGCATCACTATCCTGACTGTGTAGTAAAACAGGCAACACTGGCACCAGCACATTAACGCGACACATTTGAAAGCCTGCGGTATGACACTTTCAAATGTCCTACTAATTAATTAAATGGGATATAGAGTCTAACCCATCACAAATAAATAAAGAATGGAACTTACAAGTTTCGTTAGTGTAAATTTCCTTGGTTTCTAGACATCTGGCCTACTTGTTTGCTTATAGCCCATCCGCAATTCTTGAATCTTGAATCCAAGATGGCAATATAATTGTCTTCATCCATAACCAAAACATTCCACATAGCGTGCTGGCCACCTGACATGCCGGCCGGATCGCGTCTTTCGCGGCTCGACAGGCGGGGTAGAAGCAGAGCTCGGCAGCCGATCTGCGACCAACGATGACGGGGGATCTACGCGTGGAGGCCGAACCATGGTCGATGATGACGGGATATCGTCGTGTGGTGGTGCGATCTCCGGAGTTGCGCAATCCTCTAAGAATGCAGGCTTTAAACGTTCTACACTGACGTTCTCACGCTTACCATTAATGTCAATGGAGAAAAACTTGTCAGTACGGCGGAGAACTGGGAAGGGACCCCTGTAGGGCGGTTCTAGGGGTTTCCTGACCGCATCTTGGCGCAAAAATACATGGCTAGCAGAATGAAGGTCAGCATGAATCTGGGTACTAGCATGTCGTTGTTTGCGAGGAGGAGTGGGGCGTAGCTTACTCATCAGCTCTTTCAGTCTATGTACATAGTTCGCCGGATCAATGTCTGTGTCTGGCTTCGTCGGTTCTACGAATTGGGCAGGCAACCTAATGCTTGTCCCAAACACCAACTCAGCTGAGGAGCATCCAATGTCAGACTTGACAGCTGTGCGTATCCCCAATAGTACAAGGGGCAACACTTCAGTCCAGCGTACAGTGTTATATGTCTTGATCGAAGCTTTGAGCTGACGATGTAGGCGTTCTACTAACCCATTCGAGGCTGGATGATATGAAGTTGTCCGAATACGAGTAGTGCCGAGTAGGTTGGTGAGGGCGAGGAAAAGGGCGGACTCGAACTGTCTCCCCCTGTCTGTAGTGATGGTTGCCGGTGTGCCAAAATTCGCCACCCATCTGGCCACAAAAGTCTGTGCTACCGTCTCGGCAGTAATGTCCGGGATCGGAATAGCTACTGGCCATCTGGTAAAGCGATCAACACAAGTCAAAAGATAGCTATTACCTTCCGAAGGAGGAAGTGGACCCACGAGGTCTATATGAACATGCGAGAATCGAGCATCTGGGGATGCGAATGTGCCCAAAGGTACTCTGGTGTGTCGATGAACTTTACACTTCTGACACTCCAGACAGGTACGCGTCCAGTTCCTGATGTCGCGCTTGATTCCCGGCCAAACGAAACGCTCTGTTATCACCTTCTGAGTTGCTCGAGCACCAGGGTGTGATAATCCGTGGAGTGAATTGAAAATTGTTCTCCTATGCGAAACTGGCACTAGAGGCCTGGCACTCCCAGTGGAAATGTCACAAAGCAAAGTGGTGAGTGTGCCTGGAAGTGGTATCGACTCAAGCTTGAGCGAAGTGTCTGACAAGTCGGCGAACTCCTCATCATCCTTCTGTGATCGAGCTAAGGCAGCAAAATCGACAATGGAAGTTGAGTCGACGGCACTGATAGGCAGACGAGAGAGGGCGTCGGCTGCAGTGTTGTGCTTACCACTGATATGACGTATATCAGAGGTGAACTGTGAGATGAGATCTAGGTGTCGAATCTCTCGGG